AAAACCCCTAGAAAATTTGTGTGGGATCAGTTCAAAAAATATTTAAAATTTGGTCAAATGTATATCAGTCAAAATGTTTTCAATACCAACTTGTGTCACCTTTCGTAAAATAAATGTGCATATATTTTTAGATTTTTGTTTCAACTATATCGATCTAAACTTGTAGGTTATTTATATTTATGTCCATTTGGATCAAAATAAGGAAAGAAATGTTGACAAATGTACAAAATGTCATACACCTATTTTGGCGGGAAAACTAGTAATGCATGAAATATGTGTAGTATGAAAAATCCAGACTTGAAAACAAACAAAACCAGCTGACACTGTTGACTGATGATCGCAATCATTTAACAGGGCCTTCCCCTCTGTGACAATTACCAAATTTAGCACAAAGCTGAAATAAACAAACTCAAGTGTTAAGGGTGAAGAGGTCAAGGGGTACTCATTCAAGAATACATTTTCAGTACCTTGCAGAATTCGCAACTAGGCAGGTGTTCCAACAGGAAGCCACTATAAACATTTTACGAGTTTAGACTACATCTAGCATCGCTTTGTAATTTGTGAATTCTAGAAATGGACCTGATAATGTGTAGTTTGGTGACAAAAAAACAATAAAAACCTATTATTGTCGGTTGTGTTTGTAATGATCCATAAAACATGTTTTTTCTTCACTGCTCGGTAACTTCAATAAAAACAGGTTTATCTTTATGTAATTTACGACAGTTTGCTCAGAACATTATTTGGTCATTTGGAAAAAACAGATTGAAGCCGAACTCTATTGCAATTACCAGCGCTTCACTAGACTAGGGTCATCAGGTTTTGTAAATTATTTGTAGAAGTAATTACAAAGGGAAGTGTTTGTTGTGGCTATCATTGTGTGAGTTCAAAAGGAGGCAGGATGGGGGAGGTTCACTCAATTATTTGTCTTACAGGTATGGAACCATTATGGATGATACAAAAACCATTGAGCTTTTCTGTTACATAAACAGGAAATGTAGAAAGAATCAGCAATAAAAATAAATAAAAGAGCTTTACCATTGATCATCAAAAAAAAAAAGATGAACGTTTATTTATTCTTACTTAGCCTAATCTTTTTGTCACTGATATTTTTCAGAAACGTCAGCCGATGAACACCTTTGTGATACCGCCTCCAGACCGAATAATGTACGTACGTGTAACGTATCATGCCCCATTGACTGTATGCTGAGTAGCTGGAGTGATTGGTCTGAATGTAGCGAGACTTGTGGATATGGTGCTTATAAATACAAAACTAGGAGGATTCTTCAGTTGTCTGCATTTGGTGGAGTGCGATGCCCCAGAGAAGTGGATGATAATGGTGAGTATAAATTACAATTTTTTTTATACAGATTATGAATATTAAAAAGTGTTAATAATATATTAATATAGGGTTGCAGTACATGGTGCTAAAGACTGTTGCAGGATCGCTGCTACCTATTTCACCAAAGATTAAGTTTATTGAAAAATGGCTAAACATTAAGAAATTTTTTTATCTGAATGCCTATATTAAGCCTGAAATACGTAACAAAACAGTAACTTAGTGACCAGTTTGACTAAAAGTTTTTTTTTCTGCAAAGTGAGGGCCCTGCTGGTGGTGAAACAAAGAATGTATTTTATATTTTCTTGTATACATTGTATGAGACATATCAAAAAGCAATCTTTTAGTTTTCCATTAATACCATTAATAAATCACCTATATTAAAATGTGAAAAATTGTATTCAATTTACATAATGCAATAAATAAACATATGAAAATGATATTGTAATTATAATTATGACATCTTAAAAAAATTGTTTGGCTCGCAGCAGATTTGGATGAATTAACAAACAAATTTTTTCTACTTAGGTGTAATCACCAAGAGAAAGAAATGTAAAGACCTTGAGCCGTGTTATACCTATCATTGGGAGGTGCTGGAATGGAGTGAGTGCACCATACTGAACGAGGAGTGTGGACCTGGCTACCAGACACGACCTGTGTTCTGTCAGCGAAGTGATGGTGTACGAGTTGAACCAGGTCTGTATTCAATCTAGTCAGAACGAGTTTTTAAAAATGGCTGAAGGTGGTATGGCATTCCACGTAAATGAAGCTACCTCGTTAAATTAATTGGTGTATAGAAGGAGATGCAAGCCACTTAAATTAATGAATTGAAATTACCTTGATGCATTGCCAGGGATTGACAACTTACCCTTTAATTTGAGCAGCAAAACTCACAATACAAATATGACGTAATTAAACACTACAAAATGCATTCAAAAATTTCACTATTAAATAATGTGTTGTATTGTAATGTTGCATGTTTGTATGGATTTAATTAAGTGAAATCGCGTTTTAAAACCTAGTAAATAATTAATACAATTACATTTATTTTGGTGAATTAATATGCAAGCACTTAACTACACCATACAGGAAGATTACATTCAAATATGTTCACAAGAGGAAAGTGATAATTCTCACGAAGTGTATAAACACGTAATAAACCAAGCATGGGGTAATTACGTCAACTAATTAATTATTAAAACTGCATTCTCATGCAATCTTCTTTTCCCTATAGGCGTATGTTTAGAGAAGTTACTGAGTGCTAGGCCAATCTCTCACAAGCGATGTCTTCTGCCTTGCCCTGGGGATTGTGTACTTTCTGAGTGGTCGGAATTCACTGCATGCTCTCAGACATGTGGTGACAATCCAGGCGTTATGATGAGATACAGACATGTTACTAGTTCAGGTAATAAGAAAATAATCAATTTGTGTGTTCACAATTATGAACTGTCCTTATATGATTTATGCCTCTCAGATACTGTCCTTATATGGTATATGCCTTTTAGGTACTAGCCTTATATGGTATATGGCTCTCAGATACTTGCCTTATATGGTATATGCCTCTAAGGTACTAGCCTTATATGGTGTTTGAGCTTATGTACTGTCCTTATATGGTATATGCCTTTTAGGTACTGTCCTTATATGATTTATGCCTCTCAGGTACTAGCCTTATATGGTATATGCTCCTCAGGTACTAGCCTTATATGGTATATGCTCCTCAGGTACTAGCCTTATATGGTATATGCTCCTCAGGTACTAGCCTTATATGGTATATGCCTCTCCGGTACTAGCCTTATATGGTATATGCTCCTCAGGTACTAGCCTTATATGGTATATGCTCCTCAGGTACTAGCCTTATATGGTATATGCTCCTCAGGTACTAGCCTTATATGGTATATGCTCCTCAGGTACTAGACTTATATGGTATATACTTCTCAGGTACTGCCTTATATGGTATATGCCTCTCAGGTATTAGCCTTATATGGTATATGCCTCTCCGGTACTAGCCTTATATGGTATATGCTCCTCAGGTACTAGCCTTATATGGTATATGCTCCTCAGGTACTAGCCTTATATGGTATATGCTCCTCAGGTACTAGCCTTATATGGTATATGCTCCTCAGGTACTAGCCTTATATAGTATATGCTCCTCAGGTACTAGCCTTATATGGTATATGCTCCTCAGGTACTAGCCTTATATGGTATATGCTCCTCAGGTACTAGACTTATATGGTATATACTTCTCAGGTACTGCCTTATATGGTATATGCTCCTCAGGTACTAGACTTATATGGTATATACCTCTCAGGTACTGCCTTATATGGTATATGCTCCTCAGGTACTGTAAAATCTGTATTAGAAGCTGCGACTTCTATTAAAATAGTACAAATCAACAGATAGGGTGCGGCTTCTATTAGAGCATCTACACATGTGAGAAACAATGAAATTTTGGTTCTCAATTGTTTAAAAAGAATATGTACGACTTTTATTAGGGATGCGGCTTCTAATACAGATATTCATGGTACTAGCCTTATTTGGTATATGCCTCTCAGGTACTACTAGCCTTATATAGAATATGCTTCTCAGGTACTAGCCTTATTTGGTTTTTGCCATTTAGGTACTAGCCTTATATGGAATATGCTCCTCCGGTACTAGCCTTATTTGGTATATGCCTCTCAGGTACTACTAGCCTTATATAGAATATGCCTCTCAGGTACTAGCCTTATATGGTATATGCCATTTAGGTACTAGCCTTATATGGAATATGCTCCTCCGGTACTAGCCTTATTTGGTATATGCCTCTCGGGTACTGCCTTATATGGTATATGCTCCTCAGGTACTGTAAAATCTGTATTAGAAGCTGCGACTTCTATTAAAATAGTACAAATCAACAGATAGGGTGCGGCTTCTATTAGAGCATCTACACATGTGAGAAACAATGAAATTTTGGTTCTCAATTGTACTAGCCTTATATGGTATATGCCATTTAAGTACTAGCCTTATATGGTATATGCCTCTCAGGTACTAGCCTTATATGGTATATGCCATTTAAGTACTAGCCTTATATGGTATATGCCTCTCAGGTACTAGCCTTATATGGTATATGCCTCTCAGGTACTAGCCTTATATGGTATATGCCTCTCAGGTACTAGCCTTATATGGTATATGCCATTTAGGTACTAGCCTTATATGGTGCTTAAACTTATGTACTGTCCTTATATGGTATATGCCTCAAACATATCATCAACTGTTTCTCAGGCATGCCTGAACTGATTTTATTCACACATGGTATGATGTTTTATGTTTGGCACAAAAATGGTTGACTGGCAGCCATGTTGGTTTTATTAAGACATAAGCTTGTACTTCCAACCTAATACAAACAGTGACTGTATCATGTGCAATGACTTGTTTTAAATTGTAGGTTCAGCTACTAGCGAGCACTGCTCCCATATCGCATTCTCTGACTTGGAAGACATTTCCCCTTGCAACGCAGTACCGTGTCCGTCTTACAACTGGGATGCAGGGCCCTGGAGAAGTTGTCTTCTCCACGAGGGAAACGATGGTGAGTACATGCATTTATTTATCGTGTTTTTATACCAACGTCAGCCTTAATCAACTTGTTTCTTTCATTCCCAATTACAGCTGTCAAAGAGCATTTGAGCTCGGTGAATTTAAGTATGATCTGTTGTCTTCAGTTAGGCCACTTACGTGTTGAATTGTCAGTGGGGAAAGATACGCCCCCACAATGTCTCTTTCCAAAGCTTTTTCATATATCTACATAGAGGATACAATGTATAGTTGACAGTATGATTACCTTTAACACAAAGACAACATACTTGTGTCAATTTGATTCCAAGATTGTGTTTTTATTCAGACATAATCAAATACAGAAATAATGTAATTTTTCTGGCTTGTTTTGAAATGTAAGTTTCAACTTTATTGTGACTGATAGAACAATTGCTTTTTAAAAAAACTTGGTATGAAGCCAAGCTTTTTTGATGTATCAGTTTGACCTGCTGGTGTGACCTTTGGCCTAGTGGGTCAAGGATATCATTGACCAATCAGACTGCTGTCTGATACTGTCAACAGTTTCCAAATAAAATGAAAGTAAAATGAATGTTAAGGTCATTGTCGAAATGTAGATTACTAATTCATGCCTGTCACAGGGGACACTGTTTTTTTTCGATGTGTAGCTAGTACAGTTATAAAAAATAAACAAAACATCATATTTTGGGGAAAGCAAAACTTTGATATCTTAAAAAAGTTTAATTGTTGCTAAGATCAAATTTGGAGAATAATGAAAAATCTGTAATATGTTGGTTGAAAAATGAAGAGAAACGTTTTGGATATACCGGTAGTAGTAATGTTATTACTTTGTTTTTAACATTCACAAAGAGGTGTTTTTGAACATACTCCTATCTGTTGTACACTATTGTATAAACCATTGAAATGAGATCGTACAAACTGAGTAATTGTTACGGTCTAATGACTCGCGTTATGCAGACTCAAGTATTACATGTCAGTCCTTTGATGTTCTGTATTGGGACAAACACATAACACAATACGTTTATTTGAACCTGTATGTGAATACATTGGGACAATTTACAGTCTCCTAGATTCTTTCCTTGTTCTGCCAAGTGAGACAGATCTGTAGTGGAGCATGTCTAATTGCTCCAGACTGACTGCAGGTTCAGGAAGCAGGTCTTACTGGTACTTTGTGTTGCTGCCCTCTGGGCACACGTGTGTTGCAGTGTGTTGTTTGGAAGACGCACACCTTTCGGACAATGAAACACAAGAGTTAGATATCCCCGAGTGAATAGGTATTGTGACACCACCGGAACACCAAGACAGGCAGATGCATCCTGTTGTATGTTTCTTAATTGTTTGATGCACATGTCTTTTGTTAGGTTGTTTTTTTTTTGGAAGGGCAATTTGAATTCTTTCCACATTCCCATGGTCTCATAAAAACCACCTCTCTACTTAAGCAATGAAACTATATATTTGATATAGGAAGCCCAAGTCAATGGTTTTTATAATATATTTATAATGGTTTTACAATGGGTGAAAGAAAATAACATGGAAATTGATCTAAAAAATTGTAATGAATGTCAAATGGTTTTAAAATTTTCGACAAACTAAAAATAAATAACCAATGATATTTTTTTTATTTTATCGAGTAATATATTGTATTAAAATGCATTAATTATTCACTATTTTTTAATTTCACTATTTTCGCTAATAAGTAAAATTGCTAAATTAAATTCACTTGAACATGTAAAATAATAATAGAGCCAAATTCATGAACTTAAAACCCAGTGAATTGCTCAAAATATTGAAATAGTGGAATTATTTAAAATGCCAGTGAAAATAAATGGTTTTACAGTACTTTGGTTCACATAAGTACCTTATATCTGAAATGGAATTTGTAGGATTTCACTAAATGTAAAATATTTTTTTTGCCATGTAAAATACTTTATTTCCGCTTGGAATTTATTTTCGCCATTTCTGCTGAAGGGATGATTCAGTGAAAATAAAATCCAGCAATTATACCTTTTTTACTATATTTCACATTCAACTCATCAAAAATCAGTGAAAATAAATTCCATACAGAAAACCCCAAAAGCCTTTTCAGCGAAAATTAATTCGAGCGAAAATAAAGTATTTTACACTAGTTAATACTAGATTGTTTACTTTATAAGCCAATTATCATCTTGTTTAGACACTTGGTCAGAGAGAAAAAAATCAAGTAGTAAATTTAAATTTAAACACTGTTTTTCCCATTCATTTCAGCTATTTGTGGAGGTTTTCAACAGGCAATATATTAAAACGGAGGATTCGTCACCTGCGCATGCATCAGATGGCCATAGCGTGTCACCATTTACAAACAAACGTCTACCCATGAGCCTTTGCATTTTAAGCGTGTGTTGTTATCATCGCTTGGGACTCAATTTCTGTGCATGCACAGGTGACGACCCCCTCGCTTTAACCATAGTGTTTTTCCAGATGTTTAACAATTTCTATAGGTGATGACATTTTTGTGGTGACCATTTTCTCTGATTGATTTATCGTTGGAGGCATATTTCCAAACTTCTCCTCATTTGTTACATAGCTGATTCTGTATGAATGTAATTCATTGTTCGAGTGTGATTCGTGTTTGTTGCTTGTGGTCTAAAATTCATTACCTACGGTAGTAAACCTTTGTTTTTGCTCTTTGCATTACCATATAAATATATCATTGACAACAAAAAGAGGAACATGTTCATTTCAGTGAGGCGGGTTGTGGCTTAAATAGGTCAAACTAATCATCAAAAATAAAAATAGATGTACATAACTGTAGTAATATGATGATTTGGGTCAGTTTTTTTTTTAGAAAATAAGAGCACAAAACATAACTAAAAAAAATAAAAATAAGAGCCACATTCAACTGATCCATATTTAGTTTCCAGTGTCAAAGTGTAATTCCTAGCTAATCTTAATATTTCAGCATTCTACAGTATTGAACAGTGATTCTGAATCTAATCTCAGCAAAAAAATATTTATAATATGAGGTTATTATGAGAATACCTCAAAGTATGCACGAACACAGTACAGCTGAAGTATCGACCGACACAAAGGATACATCATGGGAAATCCAAAATTTTAAAACAGAATCAATGAACTTCTTTGTGTCAAGTCCGATCAAACCCTGGTGGCAGCCATGTTTTTTTTTATTATTAGAGGATCCTTACACACATAATCATTCCATATTTGGAATTCACATTCTTTAAAATACTGCAAAATTACGACATGCTGTAACTTATGGCGTTACAGTGACAGATGTATAATAATATTAAGTATTGTGTAGGTTCAGTTATTTTAATACTATAAATCAATTCGAATTTATTTAGAATGCTGCTTAACAAAATAAATTGAACTGTACTATTTTTGTTGTAGTCACTGTTATGGGTGCCACACTCTGTGGTAAAGGAGTACAACGTCGCAGTGTCCTGTGTCGTCGCAACGATGGTCAGTATGTTGAGAACCATTACTGTGACAAAGTTGCTTTAATGCCAGCAGTGCATAAGGAGTGTATGAATATGTGTCCTATTGACTGCCAGGTGTCTGAATGGGGTGAATGGTCTGGATGCTCACAGAATTGTGGAACAGGTACGTAAGGACTTTTAAAGTTGGGTTAACCCTTTAAATGTTAAAACCAACAATCTTAAAAAAAAATTCCATATTTTCTCAAAAATGTAACAGTGGAAAAATTATGTACAATTGGTCCAAAATGTGCAAAATCCAAAATATTTGTGAGGAAATTGGGTTAATCAGTATAAATATTAATTTTTGTTGTAGAATTACTATTTAAATGCCTTAAAGTGTTGTGATCCCCCACCATAAAAAACACAACTTTCACCATATGGGCAGATTCTGAGAGAATCAAAACTGAGATCTATTAGTGTACAACTCGTCCATGCACAGATGATGTATGATGTTAGGATAGTGCGTGATATGAATCAATTATGATATGTATTATGATATGAAACCTTGATGACATGCATTGAAATGTACACTATACATGAGTCAGGGTAACTAGGTTCCACACCTGTAACTATAAAAGTGTATTCTGCCATTTAAAAAAATTTGCAAATTTTTTTTTCTGGGCGACCCTAAAATAGACAGATTACTGAAGTTTAATTTTCCGTAGAAAGGTTTGGTTGAAAAGTGGATAATATTTGGTAATCATTGTCCTAAGTAAAGTAAATTTACTTCTATGCTATCGATAAAGAGCCATTGCTCGGAACGTCTAGATATTTTTATTAGTTACTTAAGACAACGATTACCAAATATTATCATATATATATATCATATTTATCAGTCTGAGCAGCGTTTATTTATTAACTACTTTTGGGTTGAAAAGTGATAGTGTTTAGAAAACGGGTGTTCAAAGTGATACATTGTTATCTTTTGATGAGATTGGGTTACCCCAGGTCTGAAATTGTCAACTTCAGTTCCCATAATATTGCCACCAAATGTTTAATCAATTTTACATGTGCTAAATTCTGTATTTAATTTTCTGCAAATCACATGCTTTTCACTGGGACAGTGTTTTAAGCTAGTATAAATCATGAGTGCATGCATCATATGTGCTGGACTGATAGTTGTACTTGAAGATCATTAATAGAGCTTTATTTGGGTCTAGGGACTATTATGGGAAATACTTGAATTAGCAATTTCTGCAAGAAGAAAAAATGAGGATTCATTAGAATTCTGTTTTGTTTTGAATAACTGCAACCTGCAAAAATTTGGAGCAGAGGTGAATCTCTGTAAATCTTTACTTATGGGGAAATTAATCATAAATATTAGTAAACGAATTTTTAAACATACAATGAAATGTGAAGCTCAAACAATCGCCAGTGTTCAGATGCAGACCCAAATAAACCTATACAAATGCTACTTTAATTGTCTGAAAAGATAGGAGACCCAGATGATGCACATCTGTAATCTGTAATCAAAATGTGTATGTGTATGATTCCTGATTAAATTCTAGTCTTCATTTTTTATATACCTGGAGTGAATAGTATAATTAATGATCAGTTTCTCTATATGTATGCGTTCCGCTTCATAGCACAGACACTTTGACTTTTAATGTATTTTTCTGGTTGAATAAAATAAAACACTTGCATTAAATTTGATTGTCATCTTATACAAAATCATGTGCTTAATTGTTTTTATATTTGTTCAAAACTGTGCTCAAAAATTAACAAACAAATTACTCAAAATACATAATAATTTACAAAATGTGTTTGGCAAGGACAAAAGTATAGCGTCCAAAGGATGTTTATTTTGTATCATTCATCAATGCCAGCCATGCTTCATTCAGGAGTTTTATTTCAATTCATTTTGAGCTCAATCAGCGTGTTCCTTTTCGCTTTGTTTGGAGACTAGCTATTGGAATGTTTATAATAAATTGTTTTGTTGAGTGTGGCAAGTTGTTTCAAATTCCTCAAGACCAGATACTGTCAGGAACAACTTTCTGTATATTAACAACGGGATTCTTTCTGAAACCCTTAACATAACATGCATGTATTCCCATTGCAATGTTACTGTGTTATGTGCAGAGCTTGTAGTTTTCTATATTTATACAGTAAATGCAATTTTTGTGTGAATGTTGACTTACACAGATGCACTCCTAATAGAGCCAAATACAATTATATCTATTCAAAACCCTGAAATTCCTGATTTTTTTTTGCCATACGTCCACTAATATTGTCTAGATAGGATGCCACATTGTCCATTTTCTATGATAAAAATTTCATTGTATCACAAAATCCTTGATAATTAATTGCTACATTTTCTGGATTACTAGTACCAAAAAGACGTAATATTTCTCCGCTTTAAATAACAAATATAATTTGGATAATTCTTTTAGGTTACGAAGATAGTTACAATTTTAAATTTAAAAAAATTATCTTTTCTGACGTGGTCCTCGAGTATAAGCCGACTTCCTAATTTTCCCAATTTTACATGTTCAGGCCCTTGGGCTTATACTCAGGGAAGTATGGTAGTTACTGTAAATGCATTAATTATTAACTGGTTTTAAATGTCGCTATTTTTGCTGATAAATAAAATCAACTAAATTAAATGTACGTGAAATTGTAAAATAACAATAAAACTTATTGTTTCCTTGACAAATTTGTGAAATTAAAACACATTGAATAAGCCAAAAACATTAAAATAGTGAAATTAAATGTCAGTGAAAATAAATGGTTTTACAGTAATGAATTTCATGACCTTTCTGTGGCCTTGCTTAGATGTCATTTATGTCCTAAGGCCCCCATAGATGACCACATTTCAAAATGCTGAGTTTAAACTATAAATTGACTCAATAGCGCTATCACAGGACTGCCAATGTATTATGGGCTATTTCCACAGAATTTTTCAACAATATTTATAGTAGGTACAATGATTTACAAAAAGATGATTCTGGTATACTTAAAGTTGTCAATTTGAAAGTAATTCAACTAGTAAATTTATCTATCGCACACACTTTTTATGATTTTCAAAAATGTCTAAGTTTGTGGACGCAACCAATTATCTAAAGTAAAAACAAAGGTCATTATTGTCTGCACTGTTGAGGGCGCTTGTCAGTTGATAGGTTTGGTGGATCACCGAGACTGTATGAGTATGGATACATTGTCTCTTCCAAATTGTATAACATTGATATTACTGTCTCATAGGAATAAGGATCCGATATAGAAGAATTGTAATCAACTCTCAGTATGGTGGGAGGATTTGCCCATCTACAGTCCAAAGCAGCGTGTGTTTAGATACCCCATGTGAACTGTTTGAATGGAAAGTATCTGAGGTAAGTTCTTTCATTTGGCAGTCACTTACTGAGGTGAGTCTTTTAATTGGCAGTCACCTACTGAGGTAAGTCTCTTGCTATTCTATGAACCCAGTTTTTATATCGCCAGGAAATATGACTGAATTAAAAAGACATATCTTGTTTCTTTTCAGTGGAGTACATGTAGAGCGACAGTGGACCGTCACTGCGGTGTTGGAGTTCAAACACGAGATGTCTCTTGTCTAGCTGGTGATGAGTATATTGCCGAATGTGCATTGAGAATGCAGTCACCAGAAGCCATCAGGCCGTGTGAACTGCCTTGTCCTGGTAAGTCAGTGGTTGGAAAGTTACAAAGGTGAACTTTGAGAAGCGACTAGCATGACCATGTATATTCATTATTCAATAGAAACATAGATAAACTGCTAGTATTTTGGTGTTTGCATATTTTTGGTAATTTTTAATAAGAAGCGGGCACGAACTATTTCTATATTCTTGTATATTTACCGAGGTTAACACAGGAGCACTTGATAGAATCTCACGTTATTTACTTTCAGGCGATTGCGTTACAAGTGAATGGAGCGAATTCTCCGAATGTAGTGGCGTGTGTCCCATTGGGGGCATAAAGTCGCGGGGTAGAGAGGTCATCAGACATCCATCTCTGTCCGGCAAGCAGTGTGAAGACACTATAGAATTTGTCCCATGCAATAAAGCACCGTGTGTCATGCATAATTATACCACAGTGATTGGTGATTGGACAGATTGTCAGTTAATTGCTGGCCACTGTGGAACAGGTACGTTGAAATTACGGGATATCCTTCAGTGAGCATTAACGCCTCATTGGTTTTCAGCATATCAGAATGTTTGGGATCATGTGTACTTTCCTTTAGAGTTCAGTTTGAAATTCATTCCCAAATGATTAGGCAGTGATAACAATAACAGCGGTTTTGTACACATTTCATCATTATGTTTAGTTTTATTACAACCAACATTAATTCAGCCCCTTAATGAGTACAATATCAAATACTGTACATTCTCAAACCTGTAACATAGACACATTTTTGTTGGAATGATTTAAGAGCTTCTCTGTTTTAACACCACATTATTGCTAATAGTTCTATAGAACACAATGTTAAATTAAAACTGTTCTCACTTTTAAAAACTAATCCATCAGTCACATATATACAATTTTTTTCACCCAACTTCACAAGCCTACAATTTTGAGATCTGGCATACCATAGAAACTAATGACATTCTAATGCTGATAAAAAAAGCACCATTGAGTTAAAATTGCATTCTCAATTAGTGAGTCAATTAATTTTCATTGGAATGGGTTACAATAAGTTGAACTATTTTTATCTGATCATTTTTCAAACTTATAGAACTTATCACACACTAGAAAATATCAACCAAATTAAAATGTGTTGGGAGTAGCATTTCTATTTCTTAAAATTTTGGTAAAAATTCATCTACAATAAAACATTTGTTACCTGGAAATAAAGGCAGAAATGTAGACTTTTGCACTGCAAGTCATGTGACCAGATGTCAGTACTATACTTTCCAAGATTTGTTACTTAGATGCTGTAGCCATATATATATTTTTTTATTATGTAGTATAAGTATTTATTTCCTGTCAAAAATTCTAGTCTGTATTTTTCTCACCAACATTTTGCTTGAATATATATAATAACAATCAATAACAATCAGTGTGATGATTTGTATTCTTCCTGATTCCTGTTATTTAATATCAACGGGCAAGGTTGTAATACTAGCACTATGTTTTGTTTTCAGGTTATAGACAACGGCCAATCAATTGTGTGCGTGAGGATGGCATCACAGTGTCAGCTAAAAAATGTTCAGATTTTGATTTGACATTGTCGTTTGAACCGTGTGAAGTCGAATGCTCAGAAGACTGTATTCTCACCGAGTACACAGACTGGTCAGAGTGTGATCACAAATGTGGTCTGGCGGGTTACAAAACCAGGTCACGGTCAATTGAGAATGTGGCTAAGGGCACAGGACGACAGTGTCCAGATGAGTTGACACAGGTTATTATTCATTTTTATAACAGTATCAGTTCTTAAACCACCACCAAAATGTGGGTATACTAACAGTACTCAGTCGATAAACACACTTGCTTGTGTGTATATGTTGTGGATTATACAAAATATTGTGGTATACCTGCATTCGGTGGTGGTTTATTGCTTGTATAACCTCTCAGCTATCTTATATTTCATCTGTTGGTTCGTATCACTTACTTGTGTTGATGAAAATACGTAGTATCAGATTGGCAGAAAAAAAAAATATGCCCAATATCGTATTACATGTGTTCACAATTCATACGACGTCTATTGCAGAAGACACCATGTAATGTGGAAGCATGCTATAACTACGATTGGTACATAACGGAATGGAGCTCATGTAGCATTGATCGTAAAGGCTGTGGACATGGTGAACAAACCAGAATAGTGAAATGCCAGAGAAGTGATGGCAAATTTGTTGATGAAATACACTGTGCATTACAAGGTAAGTTCACAGCCATTGATAGATTGTGACATCAAAATAGCAATGAAAAGGTAAATTGAGAGACTCACAAATGAGCGTTTTTTTTTGGAAAAAAATAACTATGGTTGTTTTTTTCCAGTATTCGTGGAAGTGATTGTATGTTTTACATTTCTTGAATATTTGTTTCCGATACCCTCAATTATTTGTTTCAGGTTATTGAGTACCCAGTAGTGATTGTATTGATCAGAACAGGTTGACATGCAACTCACAATTACAAGAACTTACTAAAAAATGTCATAACCATAGAATTTGGTTCAGTATGTCAAACACATCAAATGTGGTACAGCACACGTAGTTGATAACAAGTTTGATCCAATTGTGCTACTTCGCGGTTGCTGCCTCAACAAAGCCCTCACTCACTTAATCGTATGTAACATCAGTTCATAGTTATATTTGTCACTATTCTAGTCTCACCCATTTGTTTGTTTGTTTGAAACAAACATCTTTATCAATAATTAATCATGTGATGTAAAGTTACGTCATTCGTGAACTATGCGATATGAGTTGATATCCTTGCAAAAAATGCATAGTTCATAAGTAGTTTGATTTCAATTGGATCTTATCGTCTTGTATAGTTAGGAAATGTATCTGACAATGTATCTGACTCTTGTGTTGAATTTGTTGTAATTTTTACTTGAATGATTCAATTTTATTACAGGCGAAATGAATAATATTAGAGATCTTGCTGAGTTAGAGAAGATGGCCACTAGTCTGAACAAAACCCAAAAGAATTTGGAAACCAGAAGACCATGTGGTCGTCCTTGTCCTGGAGACTGTCAGGTATTTTTTTTTTTTTTTTTTTGATTAAGACCTTGTATCCAATGAGATATTAGATTCTCTAAGACAGACCGGGAACAGAAACGAGACAAAAACAAAAGATTTTTCAAGTTAGTGTGTGGGGGAAATAACGTATTATCGTCAGGGAAGGCTGTTGTTTAAGCTAGTCTGTGATTGGTTGTTGGCAATGTTTGGGGGATTTTGACCAGTTTGTGGCGTAGGCTTGACTTTATTTAGATTCATTTAGACCAAAAATGATGAAAAAAATACATAAAAAACAGCAAAATGTAGTACTGAAATTTTGGAAATGGTATTCAAAGGCTTAACCTGAAAGGACGTTGATTATTTAGAATTCATATGAATCAACATATATTTAGTTTGTTTATTTATGGTACCAACCATAAACTATTAACTGACTTGTGTTATCTTCAACTTACAGATGTCAGCCTGGAGTGAGTTTAGCCCATGCTTGAAAACTTGTCGTAATGGGGTTGTCCGGAGTCAACAGGTGCGAAGTAGGCATGCGATCAACAGACAGACAGTAGATGGAATACCATGCTCAGATAACATTGCAGAGTCAAGGTAACCACTTTCATCAAAGCTGTGTGTTCTACATACGAGTGAATATACACATACAAATCAGTATAAGAAAAAATACTGTTCTTTTTTAAGCAAGAGTCATTATGTCCTTAATTCTTTGTATGTTTTCTTTCCTATAGGCCTTGTGCAGAACATGATAGTTTGTGTCCCAACTTTTCATGGCAGATTGGGCAATGGCATCATCATTTTGGAGTTCGAGAAGTTTGGTGTACTGCTAAGGGTGAGTTATATATTCCCTATTGTTTATTTATCTTTATAACCATGTTATTGTGACGGGCAAGGTTACTACAGTTGTGCTATGTTTCATCAAATCATAGTTTACATTGTAATAATAATAATAATAATAATAATAATAATAATAATAATTGTTTATTCAAGTACCAGCTCAGGTACAAAAAATGGTTATGTATAGTTGAATGATAGCTTGACAATCCTAAGACAAACAGAATGACAAAATTCAATAAGCATTAATCTGATCATCAAGGGATATCTTTTTTATATTGAGTTCACTCCATAGAATTTTGAAACAGCTTTCAGATGAGACACTAAAATATGTGCTGTTTTGGTACACAGCACAAGGACTAATAATTAACATGATTCATTAATAACCATGTGTCACATGTACTGTACATCCAAGCATGAAACAAACATGTGTATCAGATTACCAACAGTGGCAGTGTCTTGTTACAATGCTACTAATTGCCTATTCATCACACTGTTTATTGAGAATGCCAAACTTGATTGATTGCTAAATCAATGATAGCATTAGACTGATTCAGTGTAATATTGACTAACCTTTGGTGCCACATTGCTGGTAGATTGCATGTTTGTTTCCTAGGTGTGTCTGTGTGTGTAACTTCATCTGTTTGCTCTGTAGATTTGGAGCTGAATGTTACCGGTGGTTGCGTTGATGAATTAAAACCCCCAGGCATTGCAGAATGTATCCCGGAATGTACCAAACCGTTTACTCGATGCCATGAAGGTGCTTGTCAGTGTATTGATGGATTTGAAGGTAAACTCATGCATATCAGAGTTATATTGTATTGCATGACTTCTATTTACTCAAAATACGTAATACATATATTAGACTTTTCACAAGTTTAATCGATCTATCAAAATCAATATTTTAAATCTGAGAAAGTGGGCCCATAATAATGTCAGATAATGAAACCAATTTAAGCATTCTCTCCAACTGTAAATTTAAAAAAAAAAAACCCATCCCTCCCTGTAATTTATCCTTACATTTCAATTCCTAATATCTCACCACTCACTGAATAACCTCTCATCACTGTATCCAGGCAACTAGGAATTAAGTTGTCATTCTGTGACACTTACCGCAATGCATCATGGTTACTACTGTAAAATCTGTATTAAAAGCCGCGGCTTCTATTAAAATGGTACGATGCAACAGAGGGCATGCGGCTTCTATTAGAGCACCTACACATATGAGAAATGATGAATTTTTGCTTCTCAATTATTCAAAAGGAATTGGTGACTTTCTGTTAGGGGTGCGGCTTCTAATACAGATTTTACAGTAACAATTCTCATCTGTTGATGTAGGTGACGGAGTACATTGTTTTCCCGCAAATGGATGTACAACGGATGAACATTGTGTGTTTGAACATACATACTGTGATCATGACAACCAATGTCAGTGCAAGGAGGGATTCATGATGCTCTATGATGGTAGGTAAAACAGAACTACATATTGACCAGAAGTCATTGTGATATAGGAATCCTATGACATTGTTTCTACAGATTGCTGGATTTATATAGAATACTATTGGTACCTGTGCAACCAGTTGTCTTCCTATTATTTTGAAATCTCAAAACTAACTTCCTCTGTTTGGGTATACATTATTAAATATCGTTAAATTTGTTTTGCAGACCAGGGACCGTGTGCTGAGATTCGTAGAATTGCTCACATGACGTCTACACTGCCGACTTCTGTTACTTCAGAAGGGATTGAGACTTCCATGAAACAGACACAGCCAGGTGGTAAGTATTAAAACAATTCATTTCCTGTTCTCTTCTCTAGTTTATAAATGTACTATGTATGCAATACTCTCATGTGTACTGGCAATTGTCATACCATATCACCTTATTAGTCTCCATTCAAAAACAAGGACTTATGGGTTTACCTTTGTACGTCCATGTGTTCGTGCGTGCATGCATCTGAACCTGTCTGTATCTTAGACATGCCTGGACCAATTGCATTCTAACTTCACACATACATCATACATAATATTATACATAAGCATAATTTGTTTTATGATCTGATTCAAGATGGCCGAATGGTTGCCATGTCTTGCTATTCTTTTAATAGTTACATGATTATAATGTCTATAAAGATGTCTGTAAATTTACTGTTTCCACCTTTTTTGTTTTCTTTTTCAATTAGGTCTGTGGAAGTATGTTGCCATAGCAATTGGTGTATGTGTAGCTGTATTAGTAACTGTATTATTACTGGTGGTGTTGCTACTGAGGTATGAAATGTAATAATTTTCTGTCACTTTGTAATTGTGTGTCACATTTATCAGTTTGCTTTGTCATGGATATTATACATTGTATCATGAATTTATTGAATTCTCAACTGAAGTTGCCACATGAGAGAAAGTTTATCGCTGGTGTCAAGTTTGTAAAGACAGCCATTTAAACATAAGAGTATATATATCAATCGGCTAACGTGTTTTTTTTTTGTTTTTTTTACATTTTTAGGAAAAAGCACACTGGCCATGCAGAGATCATGACCACAGCCACAACGGTGGAGTTTAAACATAACAACTTCAACACCACAGTGGATGGCAAATTGAAAGACAAAATGTCAAATCTTGAGAAAAATGCTCCAATGAGATGTTGATAGAACACTGTGGAGATCTTCTCATAAAAACAAAAGTATTTCACTAACCTACCATAAAGGACAGTATGCAACTTTCCAAAAAACAGCAGCAGCTCAGTATTCTACCATAGAGGGGAACCTTTTCTAGTTATGAAAACAGCAGCAGCTAAATATTATGCCATAGAGGGCAGTATTACTTCCAAATAACTAGCCTTTGAACAGTAATGTGCCATAGAGTGTGTAGGAGGTCATAGGATGAGATTTTTTTCTTGAAAATGTAGGACTTTTATTTTATATCAAAGGGTAACTGCTGTCTGTTAGGCTCTCAAACTTAGCTGCTACATGTATACCCTGTTATTATGAAAGTATGAGTATCACCATGTGGCCATCGCAACACAGCTGGAAGAGATGTGTGACTTGCCATAAAGGTTTTGCTGTGATTTGATGTTGACAGATAAAGCATTGAGAATATTTGTTTTTTTTTTGTCTGGCTGATTAGACCCAAGTGAAATATATTGCTTGCACAACACTGATGCATCTTTTCTGCACCTGACATGAATTGCAAACTCGCTGTATCTCTGATAAATTGGAAATTTGCCAAATAACACAAATTGCATCAATTTGGTTCAAACAAATCTTACTTTAGCTTTGGACAGAGATCATGCATATTCTTAACATGTCAGCCTCCCGTATACTGCCCTCTGTTGGGTTGGAATTTAATTCGCTTGTTTTGATTTTTGGTTCAAAAAACTTTTCATCTTAAAAACAGATTTGTAGATTTTTTTCCATCCATTACGGCAATCTAAGCATGTCAAGTGCAGTTAATTCGGGTAAATTTCACAATTATGTTTAACCTTACCCAAAATCCAATTTTTGCTTGTAGACCAATCGTAACATACCTAGATGCACAACAACCCAACACGAACCACTGTGTGCATAACCCACTGCAACAAGTACAAACAATAAAAAAAAATTGTATATTAAAATTTGATCAAATATATATGGTATGCAATAAAATATTTCTTGTAACATAATTTACAACATAGTATATTAAACTTTAAGATTTATATAACATTTCTATTTATACAAAACTATGTGTAGCTCGTAAGATGGGGTTTATTGTTTTGTATTTGTCTATGCATGTTGTTCAGCAGCCTTTAATTAATGTTATTGATGAATAGTTTTTGATATATCAATCACAAATCCTCTGTCTGTTAAGTTGTATGTGCATAGGGAAGGCTCATACAACACAAAATGGTTACATATTGATAGCCAGTCAGTTTTTAGAAATCTGCTACAAGGCAGTTGCACATTTTCAAACAAATATAAATTCAAATAGTTGTCAAAATTAAGTGTTATATTTTGTCATGGTTGAAAGTACTTTACTTACGACCATAGGCAATGTATGTTTTGTACAACACCATGTGTATGTATGGACCAATCAGAGAACAGATATCAGAACGGTGGTATTTATAGTTCTGATGATATTTACGCTTTAATATGTGTTCGTCGATAACAAATGACAGACGTCATCAATTTCGAATCAGCACAAGCTGTTTGTTTTTTTACAATACATTAATATCATTGTGCTGTGTGTGAAAACACATGTGTTATAGTGTTCAATACTTAAAACATCGTCCGCTGAAAGCCTCTATTGATAGCCGACATGAATGGGAACAACAATAGTTCAGTAGTCGTGTCAATACATGACATCTTTTGTTTCAAACCTTCAATTGATACATTATGTGCTGAGTGTTCTGAGTCCTTAGAACAACTTATTTTGTATTCTGAGTATATATATAGACTTAATCGATTTGAATTCAGTGATATTATATTATCGTAGCAATTACCAAGTGTGTAAAATACAGACAATGCTTTCAGTGTTGTTCTCAGAATATTTGACTACTAGAACCGGTTATGGAAATCAATGCCATTACCAAACAATAATATACATATATAATATTAATGATGTAGATTGTATAGAAAATTGTATACAGATTTTAATGTGATCATACAATCATCTTCAGCTTTACTCGTGTTTTTTTTAACTATGTACTGTAACATGTCTTGTTGAATAAAGACTGAAGCAAAATTTAGTTTGTTTGTGTCTAATTTTATGCTTAAATTGTAGTATCAATGGAAGTATGCATTTGCGTGAATGTGATCTTGTAGCAGGAAAAAGATATAACATACAAACTACCATGTTTACATGGAGTATTCTAACTATTAAGTTTCTGCCAGTGGATTACCCCGTGGTCAACTCAGTACTCAAGAGTCACTAAGTGGGGCTGCTAGACAAGTACAAATTCAGAATGGATATTGGTGATATTTTTACCATAGGGAAACCTGTCCATCGGGAAATACTGTAAAATATGTCTTTTTAGCTAGCATGTTATTTTAGCTAATTTCGCTAATTCAACATGTAGCTAATTTAACAAAAAGTCTATTCTCACAGGGAGATAGTCAACACTTTAGCTAAATTAAGATTCTGTTAATTCATGCCAAGAGTCAAATCCGATCTTTGTTAGAGTAGGTCTAGAAGGTAACTTAATGCCAATGATTTTCAAGCTTGAACAATTCGAACATGATGGCAAGCTGGAAAGACCATTACACTGGGGGCACCATACGCCATGTCAGTGTTGATTTCCCATGGAGAGACCACTTGGCATATTCAAAACAACAAAAACTAATCTGGTAGTCATCAAAGACATCATTGCATCAAAATATTGTGGCGTTTTGAAAGAAAATATAACAAACTGGTAGGCGGCATCAGACAAATTGCATTAGACTTTTAAGATCACCTCAGTGGTAGATATTCCGTGATTCCAGCTCTCAAGTAAATTTTGTTTATAGTTTGGAAAAGAGAAGAGATTGTCACAGTTTTTATCATTCTCCCGCCCCAAGTGTACGAAAATGACAATTATCATACCACATGAACCTAACCCGGTCAGTTCTGATCAAACGAGATCTCCTGGTATACACCATACACTACATTAATCAACTAAATGACTTTAAATTCTTTGAAAGCAATCGCATATGTGACACTTGACTGCATGCTGTACACCCCTTCTGAATGAAATTAGCCATTTTGGATGGGATTTGAACCAATTTCATTCAAATATGATCATTTTTATAATACACCATTTTAAGATTTTGTGTAATGATACGGGGCCCATGATGAACTATTCCCAAAGTGAAGCAGAACTATTCCTATATATCCTTCTTTTAGTTGAAATGTGAATGTTGTGTTTTAACTATGTACTATAACGTGTCTGAATAAAGACTGGAGCACAATTTAGGTTTTTTGTCTTTATGCTTGAATCAATGGAAGTATGCATTCGCGTGAATGTGATCTAGTAGCAGGAAAGAGATATAACATACAAACTACCATGTTTACATAGAGTATTTTAACTATTAACTTTCTGCCAGTTGATTATCCTTTGGTCAACCTAGTACCCAGAGTCACTAATGGGTCAAGTGGGTCTGCTAGACAAGTATAAATTTAGAAAGGATATTGGTGATATTTCCACTACAGGGAAACCTGATGTTTTCTGATGATCTACTACAGTTATCAATATCTCACATAAATGCCTCCTCTACTCCTGTAACAAACTGGTGGGCTGCATTAGACATGTTGCATTAGACTTTTAAGATCACCTCATTGGTAGATATTCCATGATTCCAGCTTTGAATGTTGAAGAAACTTGTTGTAAACTTTCGTTTATAGTTTGAAAAAGAGAAGACAATGCCACTTAAATCATTCTCTAACGATGTTCAAAACGAATGCTTTGATTGCACCAATATGTCCAAATGACGCCATCTTTAATTAACCACGCTGACACAAACTATCATGGATTTCCATGACATTTGTCTGTTTCATGATGATATGTTCATTTCACTATTTTAGTTGTTAATGTGTGCTATTCCCTTTCTATTCTCAAAAGCATTGCCCCAATTTCCTCGGTATTTGCTAAGTATTTGAGTGAACCTCAATCCGTTTTGTATAGCTCGCCATATTTCGCGCATTATTCCTTTATTCTGTTTTTTTTTCAATAATTTAATTAGTATATTTCCTATGGTATATATATGTTTGAATCTCTAATTTATAGCGAACAAACCATTATCATTTTATCAATATCATCACATCTTGATTATTGATATACTATTTCATCATTTTAAGAATAATATATTTTATAAAAATGTCAGGGCCCATCACGTAAATTAATATAGTACGAAATTAAGTTATTACACCATTTTCAATTTTAACTAAAAGAAAGTTGTCGCGTGGTCGATTCGTATACATACACTTACATTGATATTGAATTTCATTGGAGCAATACATCTTTCTTTGGTGAGATGGTCTCCACATACTGCTCATACAACGAACAACATATAATCGGTTTATAGACTTTGCAACCTTCGTACAATTCCAAAACCATACCGACACAACAGACCCCTGATTTGTGTTGCCCTCGTACCCCCTACTGAATTCAACCTTTTAAACATTTCAACGCTCTGGAATACAGGTGCGTGCCCATTTCTGTGAGTTTTAACTATTATTGAATACAAAGTTTCATGTAAGTACAGAAAATAGTAGAAATAAGAGAAAATATGAGTCTTCATGCCCCATATTTTACATCGAATTACTTAATAGCTTCGTTTATTGAAAGACCACCAAGAGTCTTAATAACAATCTGTATTTGATATAAAGCCCCCCCTAGCTGCTAGATATTTCTGATACTTTTGATGGATATAATAAACCCAGATAGTTGTAGGGCAATACCGCAACTCAATACCCCCTTTATAATCCTTGGTTATACTCCAAAATGATATAGATTGTACTGTGTCCACCGATTGTAACCTTCAAAATAAATGGCGTATGATATAATTACAACTATACCGAGTGTTCAGAACTTTTACAACTATATTGCACTAACCGATTTGTGACTCATATACCCTCATTGTAATGCTTATCCATATAGGAAGTAAGCTCATTAACAAATAAACTATATAGTAGAGGGCTTTGGCGAAAATCCTTATCTCGTATCTATAATGCCCCCCCCCCCCAAATACTAAAAGTTTCACTGACCACAACAACGCGTACTACCGTGACGATAATTAGAGGCGTCGTTAATATCCCCATGTTTGTGTAACATGAAAATAATTTTCCCTACTTATTGGATATTTTGCCTATGAAAATACATAAATGTCACAGACATTGATGCACAATGTCACAACTAATGAC